ATCAGAATAACAGAGTTGGAAGGCGCCAAGGAGGCCATCGGGTCCAATTCCCTGCTGTTGCAGGACACCAATTTGCACCATCCCACTCAGATGACTCTCCAGTTTCTTTATGAATGCTTCTAGTGTGGGAGAGCCCACCACCTCTCTGGGCAGCTGGTTTCACTGTCATATTGCCCTGACAGTGAGGAATCTTTTCCTGATTTCTGGCCTGAAACTGGGTTGTCACAACTTGAATTGATTATTTCATGCCCTACACTCTTGTATGAACAAGAAGAGATCTTGTCCTTCCTCTTTGTGACAGTTTTGAGGTACTGATAGAAGGGTATCATGTCACTCTTCAGCCTTCTCAAGGCTGAACATGCCGAGTTCTTTCACTCTCTCCTCATAGGGCAGTGTTTCCAAACCCTGGATCATTTTGGTTGCCTTCCTCTGAACCCTTTCCAATTGTTCTGCATCTTTCTTAAATCTTGCTGCTCAGAACTGGACACAGTATTGTAGATGAGGTCTGACTAGGTACAGATACACACATACAAATATACTGTATATATGTAAAATATAGGGCAGAATATAGGGAGTTGGAGGGGCCCTAGCAAGATGAGGAGCTGCCTGCATGCACACACGATTGCAGTGTGCAGTCATCCCCCCCTCCAAGTCAACAGCTGGGGCTGCACAAAAGCAACTTACTTTGAAAAGCCTGTTAAGAAGAAGGAAGTGGTGAGGGACTGGAATTGATCCCCTCAGACAAGCAGCAAGCCTCACAAGAAACTGAAGAAATAATATCTTTCCTTTACAAAAGTAATCCCTAGTTCCTGTTGTACCTTGTAATAAGTTTTAGTTATAACTCTTAATCAGAGGCAGGGAAAACTCAAAACGCAGGAAATATCCATTCAACCAGTGTGTGAATTTGGATAATGCCATTAGTATTACATTCAGATACATCATGCCTTTTAACTTTATAAAAATATGCGTATATGAGCTCTTTCAGGAAAGGCTTTTACTATACAATTGCACTGCCTCACTCCAGAATTTTACAGGGGATCCAGACTGTCTTCCATTTGTAGTTTTTTCCATCTTTTTTCATAATGGAAAAAAGGCTACTAAGGAGGAAAAGATGGGAGGGCCTCTTGATCATTATTACCAGGGGCCTTCCATCTGGAAACACCGTATATCAAAAGAGCACTCACAGAATTCCAGTAATGGAACCAATCCCTCTCCTTACTTCCGTGCCAAATACTGCAGTGGGAATTTCTGATTTCATTTTTTTAAAGGGCTCTTTACATGGTAGGTCTGTCTGTCTCTGCATCCACGGTGTCCTTCTGAGTCACAGTGTGTTTCACACTGTTTCCACTCTGCAAGAATACAAGAGCCCAGCTGCTGAACCAGAGAGATCCACCTAGCCCAGCATTCAGCTTCCATCAAGTGAAGCTGGCAAGCCTTCAGGAGGCTGATAAGCAGGAAATGAATGACAGGCTGAGGCAGTGGAAATGCAGTTCAGGCAAGGCAGTTTGCAACATTTGAGGTTGCCCTCATTTCTCCATCCAAGAGGCTCAGACAACACTCCAGGCAGTTGATAAAGATGCATGCATTTTCCTGTCCCAAGAGGATTTGGGAATGGGCGATGGGCATTCATGTTTTCTTTTATTTCTGTATCACCCAATAGCCAAATCATCCCCATCCTCAAGTGATGGAAACTGGAAGGGCAACTTGGAAGGACCCCCCCACTCACCATAGGTATTACTCTTGGAGCACACTGAATGGGCTAAATATGACTGGGACATGACTCACCAGTCCTTCGGAGATTCTGCCGGGTGGTTGTACGCCCTGCCTATTGCAGAAATAATCCTGTAGCACAGCCGTTCCAATATGGCATTCTCCAGAGGTGTTGGACTACAGAGGTGTTGGACCAGCACTCATAGCAGCACACCCCAGTGAGCATGCAGGATGTGGATGGTGGGCGTTGTTGTCCAGCACTTCTGAGGGGGTGCTAGTTTGGGGAAGGCTGGTGTCACGAGGCACCTGCCAAACTGTCTGGCTATCCGAGGGTTAATGTTGTAGGAAAGCCAGCAGCCTCTCTGCAGAGTCTGGGGAGGCAGAATCTGCTGGAGCTATTTGCAGGTGGCGGGAGCAGTGGCTGGATCTATGTGGGGAGAAATATAAGCAAAGTTCCAGACGTTCTTCATACCTGGCTGACAGCTTTCTTGGGAGGCCTTACAACAGCGCACTGCTTGAAATCCCAGTCGTGAGTCTCAGAAAGGCACCAAAGCTCAGCACGAGGGCCAGCTTCCACGTGGCAAGAGGAGAAATGAGTTGTGTGCCTGTAACAAAGAGGGCAGTACAGGGAGAGACGATCATATTTCTGTCAAAGTCAGTCTCATATTCCGCAAACAAGGCCCGATCTGCAGAAAAGTGACCTGGATGGTTTTCTGGTCCTTTTCTGCTCACAAAACAAGAGTACTGTGAAGCTTCTGAGCAGAAATGGCTTTCCTCATGTGGAGGGATGGCTCCAGAGATTGCAATTTCAAGCTGGTGAAGGCTAGGGTTTTTTCAGAGCAAGGGAAGAAGTAAGCAGTAATGCATAGATTTGGACACTAGATGTCAGGATTGAAACAAAAATACCTCACACCCGGCTTCTTTGGGCCGCCAACCGCACTGGATGGACCGTGGGGTCCGTAAACATACCACCCCAGATGGGTGGCCACTTGTAGAGGGACAGCTCCTGGTGCTAACAATCAAAAGTCACTGTGCAACTACTCTGTCTCTCCCCCCCCCCCCCGCCATTGTTTTTTTCCCCCCTGGTAACACAAATATGGAAGGTGTGGTGGGAGAACACAGATGATCACATCTGGATCCTCCAAACAATTTTGTCTTTTGATAGGGCAAGGGCAGGATGAAAGCCTTCTCTGTATGTACTTTAGGATGCTTCCAGATGAGGCCTTTATCTTGCCATTGGTCTACCCCACAATATTAGTTTTGGGCGGGGGGGGTGGATGTTTCTAGACATTGTCTTCTTCCATTCATGTTACACGTAGGGTAGCTGCACCAGGAGACCTGCGTCTGGAAGCAACCCTAATCAGGTATACACCTAGTTTCTGCATCCCTTTCAGAGAGTGTCAGGGAATTGAGCGTGTGGGGGCACATGCAGAAGCATGCATGTTAGGGTTACGCCATGTTGCCTGCACAGTGGCAGGTTCACATGTGCCCCTGTGCCGCCACTATGCATTCAGTGCTGTCATACTTCTGTCTATGGATTTTGGGCCTTTGGACAGTGATAAAAACAGATAATAAAGAGGCGTGTAACTCAGTAACAAGCATGTTCATACTGCTAGTTCACACTGCTGAATTCCTTCTTTAGAATGTATACATGGTAGCAGTCCATGATTGTGGATACTGGAAAAGGGAGCTTTGACTACAAAGATGGCCAGCGGGTTAATGTGTGTAGCACCTGGTTTACTTTATGTTAGGAATGCCAAGTGATGAAGAAGACAGGGTCTGATATATTTAATAGCTGCACAGAAGAGGCCATTTCAGCTAGGGTTCCTCATAGGACAAGCTGCATGCTGAAATTCTCCTCTTCTATACAATTATTAAAGGTGTAGGAGTCTATCTTCCTTTTCACCCTTCTTCCGGTGTCCTCCATGTGCCTGAGTGCACTCTTTGGTGAGCAGGGGAAACAGTGCAGTCCTTGCAAAATAAACCTATTAATTTTTCTGTACAACATAGCTCAGCATCCCCTGGAGATGTGTTCACATGGTGAACCTAATATGTGCACCAGCCTCTCCTTTGGGATTAGGTGAGGACTCTCTTCTTGGATACAGCTGCCGTGATCCAGTGGGAAGTTTTTCACATGCTGGGATCATTGAAATTGCTTACAGGAGGCCATGGCTATATCAACAAGAGGCTCTGATCCCAAGTACACTTACTAGGGAACAGGAGCCATTTAATCCAGTGGCTCTTACCTCTGAGTAATTATGCTTGGAATGCCCTGTGACTCCCTGAACCAGTTTTCTGTGCACATGTGTCCCACTGCATTGGGACATCATGTGACGTGGAGAAAATGTACGTAATTATCTGTACTGACCCATCTTTTCTAGAAGGGGTGCTGCATGTCCCATACATTTTAATCCAGGTTACCTGCCTCTTTGTCATATAGGCAACACTCCTGGCCCAGCGGAAGGGACTGTGACCAACAGGGCGTCTGGCAGGATTTCTTAGGCAGGAGGGCTGAATTATGCTGGCACACTTATTGACGGTTCTGCATGCAGAAACGCCTCTGCCTGTATCATATCCCATCTGCAGTGCCTGGCTGACCATCGCCAGTTGGAGGAGCTGGGGGACCGCCACTCTGCGCCATGGCGTTTGTGCCACGGAGTTCCACAGGGCTGCCCCATTTGGCCCCCACGCTCTTTAACATCTGCATGAAACCGCTGGGTGGGGTCACCTAGACACTTGGGCTGAAGCGTCACCACTCTGCTCCACCTCTCATTCTCACCCAGTCCTGGTGAGGCAGCGACTGTCCTGAACCAGTGCCTTTGCTTGGTAGTGGACCAGATGAGGGCCAATAGGCTGAAGTGCAATCCAGACAAAATGAAATACTTTGGCAGGCAGTCCATTCACCCAGCTGGGAAACTTTCAACCTATCCTGGATGGGGTTGTGCTCCCCCTAAAGCAGAGGTTCCCAACCTTTCTGACACTAGGGACTGGTTTTGTGGAAGACAATTTTTTCCATGGACTTCGGAGGGGGGATGGTTTTGGGACGATTCAAGAGCATTACGTTGATTGTGCACTTTATTTCTATTATTATTACATTGTAACATATAATGAAATAATTATACAACTCACCATAATGCTAGAGGCCCAAGACCCAAAAGGGCCCTAATGGTAATCTGTATTTGCCGCCGCTCCCCAGTGGTGATGCCAGTGCTAGGGAGCGGTGGCGGATGCAGATGAAGTTTTGCTTGCTCACTTGCCCGCCATTCCCCTCCTGCTGTGTGGCCTGGCTCCTAACAGGCCACAGACTGGTACTGGTCCACAGCCTGGGGGTTGGGGACCCCTGCCTTAAAGGGTAAGGGGCATAGCTTGTGGCGCTCCTGCTCTCTGAGCTCTCGCTCGTTTCGCAGGTGGCCTCGGTGGGCAGCGGCACCTTCTGTCACCTTTGGCTGGTGGTCCAGCCACTTTCCTACTTGGATGAGCAGAGCGGAGCGGAGCCTCGCCACAGAGCCTTGCACTAGGAGCCTCTTGCCTGGACTGCTGCAATGTGCTCTATGTGGGGCTGCCTTTGAAGATGGTCCAGGCGCTTCAGCTAATTCAAAATAGAGCAGCACGGTCACTAGCAAAAACCAGCTCTAGCGAACGTATCATGCTGGTCCTCTACCAGCTGCATCGGCTGCCTGTCACTGCCCAGGCCCAATTCAAAGTGCCTGGACTGTAACATATAAGGCCTTAAATGGCTTGGGACCGGGATATTAAAGAAATGTCTCTTTCCTATATCCCTACCAGATCAGATCATCAGTGGAGCCCCCCCCCCCAAATGAAGTGGAGGGGGAATTAGTTAGGAGAAGGGCCTTCTCTGTTGCACCTCACTTTTGGAATTCCTTTCCGAAAGAGGTGCAACTGACACCCACATTATTTTGTTTTCATCACAAAGTAAAGGCCTTTTAATTTAGCATTTGTTTTTAGAATTATACTTTTATTTGGTTTTTTGCTGCTAGTTTTATTATTGCTTATATGAGGGGGGACCCCCCCCCAGGAATTATCTTCTGGAGAGCAGCCCCCTTTTAGTACAGGCTTCCCCTGCTAGGTGAGTAAGAAATACACATTTTTAATAGATAAATTCCTGGGGTTTTTGGGTCCCCCCTCATATTATTGCTCACCCTCCTGTTTGCACTTTATATTTGTATAATTTTATGTGTTTTAGCTGTTAATGTTTTATGTATTATTTTTATGTTAGTTGTGCTATTTTTGCTACGTGAGCTGCCCAGTAAGCCCTCAGGCTACGAGGTGGCATATAAATGCAGTAAATATATATTTTTTAAATTAACCACGTCTGGACCACACCAGACAGACTCTGTTTCCCTGCTTATATTACCTAAATTGCCATGCTTGTTACCGTGTCCCTTTTTCCCAGTTTCTCTTTCACATGCTCCATTCCAATTGCCTGGGAGCCCTCTGTTACGATACTGGCAGGCGTGCTCCCCAGGGGACAGGTCTAAGTCCCCTCCACCTAGTATGGGCGAAGGGTACAGAGTGGAGACATTCTCCCTTTTTCTTTGAATAAGTCAGTTGAATAATTAGTGGGTTACAATCATGAAAGCTTGCTGAGCAGCAAAATCAGACCTGCATTCTTGACCAGCATGCTCTGTGTGACAGTCAGGGATCCATCATTGGGCTCTGGTACGATCTCCAGCAGATCACAAAGGAGGGCATAAACATTCACACTTTCGAAAGGGTCCACCTCGAGCCCTTTTCTGAAGGCTGGACCCACAGCTCGGAAGATGGTCTTCATATTCATAGCCATGTTGTCAAAGCCATGCTCCCCTTTATTAAACTGGACTTTGAATCTCTGAAGGAGAAGGAGAGGACATGAAATGCTGCACATACAGGATTGGTACCCACTGATTCCAGGAGGCTACAACCTCAGTCTTTCCGCTTGATCCAAACACCACTCAAGCCTCACATGGGTAACAGGGAACCTGGCTGGTCTAACCAAAACCCCCATCCTAGAGCCAAACACCCACAGCATAAAACGGGTAAAGTACCTGTAGCAACTCCCACAGACGGCAGCTGCGGCATCAGTGTGCCTCAGAAATGGCAGCTTCCTGGATGTTTTTCTGCACAGCTCCTTCTTTCTGCCCTTTCTAAATGCCTTTCAGCACTCAAAACCTTTACACAGACCCTGACTCTTCTAACCCTAACCCTACCTAGGCTGGATCTGAACCGCCATAGCATTCAATGTATTCTTTACCCCTTCCTCATACCTATTTCCAAAATGGCAGTTTTCTGGATGGGTTTGTTTGTTTGTTTTGCACAGCCCATCCTTTCTGCCATTTATAAATGCAGCTCAACCCTCAAAGCCTTTACAGCAAACCTCACTTTTCTAACCCTAGGCTGGATATGAACACCCATAGTGTTCAATGGATCAATTTCAACGACCTCACCAGGATTGCCAAAATGGCAGCTTCCTGGATGTTTTTCTGCACAGCTCATCCTTTCTGCCCTTTCTAAATGTGTTTCACCCTCAAAACCTTCCCAGAGACCCCACTTTTTGAACCTGAACCCTATGTTGGGTCTGAACCCTTATAGTATACTATGGATTAAGTTTCACTGCCTCCTAGGAAATTCCAAAATGTCACCTTCCTGGATGTTTTTTGCTCAACTCATTATTACTGATCCTTCTAAATGCCTTTCAAGCCTCAAATCATCCCAGGAATCCTGGTTTATCTAACACTAAACTATCCTGGAGTATCACTCTTACCCTCTTATATGGCTGACCTTCATGCTTCTAGCCCTGAACCTAACCTTGATCTCAACCCTTACCGTGTTATTCCACTTAGGTACCCACGCTTCGTGTACTTTTCAAAAATGCCATTTTCTGCATGTTTTTCTGCACAGCTCATTCTTTCTTCCCCTTCCCAATACGTTTCAGCCTTCAGAAGCCTCACAGTGTTCCTGCTCTTTTTATCCCAACCCTAGCGTGGATCTCATCCCTAATGTCAGAGAAGTTCTGAAGCCCCCTGCCTCTCTCAGAATTCCAAAATGCCAGCTTCCCCACTGTTTTTCTGCACTGCTCATTCTGTCGACCTATATTAAACATCTTTCAAACACTGAATGTTTACATGGAACTTCAAATCCTTCACAGGGCCCCTTGTTTTTCCAACCATTGCCTGATTATCCCTAATATCATACTGATGTGAAGTACCCACACATCTTACCGATTTCCAAAATTCCAGCTTCTCAGAAACTTTTCTTCACAACTCATTCCTCCGGCCCTTTCCAAGTCTCAAAAACTTTACAGGGACTTTGATTTTTCCAACCCAAACTTATCCTGGGTTTTACCCCTAACCGTAAAAAATCCTGCCTCACACTGATTTCGGGGATGCTTGCTTACTGAATGTTTATCTGCATACCTCATTCTTTCTGCCCATTCTCAACATGCTTCATTCCTCGAAAGTTTCACAGGACCCTTAGCTTTTCCACCCCTAATCCTAAACTTCCCCTCACCCCTAATCCTAGTAATGGATGAGACACCATTTTTCAAGATGGATTTTGAAAAGCCCTGCGTTCTGGATATTTCTCTCTACAGATCATTCTCTCTGCCCTTCCTGAACACCTTCCAAGTTTTGAGCTCATGGAGACATGGGGTTTTCCAACCTTAATCTGGCCCTTTACTCCAGCTGAATAAACAAGGGGCATGCAGAATATTTCCTGTATTTCGCCATTAGTGGGCCACTTGGTCCATTTAGGTTTCCTGTTCAGCATCCCATGCTATTGCTATTAGGGCGCCTGATGAATGCGGGTGTAAATTCCCTCTCATTGCGCATTGTTAGGGTTCCTGATTCGAGGTGTTCCAGATGAGCTCAGTCAATGGAATGCTTAAACAGAAGATGGGGACAGCCCTGTATTTTTAAAGAGAGAACTTAGTTCAAAGGCTGCCTTCGAGATGTTGGGCATAGAAGCTGTGGCACTCTTCCTTCCTTCTCTCTGGCTTCCTTAAGAAGGAAGGGCAGAAAGAAAGATGCACTACTAAAGAAGTGGTTCATTTGATCCTGAAGGTTCCTCTATCACTTACCAGGAAGCAGCCTGTTCGGGGCAGGATTTGGGTAGTGATGGTGTGTGTGTGTGGGGGTGGGGGGGGGGGGGGGGGGAGAACTAAAAACAAGGATCACAAATTTGCCAGAATAAGTAATTGTCATGCAGGAAACCTGTAGGCTAGTCTTAAGCAGATATATTGTCCCCTCTAGTTTTCCCTAGTTGCCATCTTGGTGACCTCTAAATAAGTTGATCAGTGATTCATTACTCCTAGCTAGCATAGCCACCAAATTGGCTCCAAAGGGATTTGCTGTCCAACACATCAGGGGGGCAGCAGGTTGAGCAAACCTGTTCTTGCAAATTTGCATGTGAATGGTTCCTGCGCCTGCCTGCCTGCCTGTCAATGTTGTCTTTAGAATGGGGGAATACCATTTAGGCTCTATCACAAGCAGCAAAAGATCCTGGGCTATACATGCTCCTCCCTTCCCATTTCTTGCCCTCCAAAAGCATCTTCCTAAGAAAAGAGTGAAGAGGAAAAGAAAGTGTCCCTTTAGAGGGCAGAATACCTCCTACCCCATGGATCACGTAACCAGGGTCGCCGTACAGTACAAGAGATGTGACGCGAGAGTTGTTGGCATAATGGAATCTTGTGGGGAACGCCTCCTTCTTATAGACATGGAGTTTGGGGTGAGCCTTGTGTAGAGCTTGATAAACTTGTTCTAATTTTCCTGGCCTGGGCAACAGCAGTGCATGTGGTCCATAATCTAGAAGCTCGAACTGAAGGTCTTGGAAAGAGAAGTTTGCAACTGTGGCGAGGTGGATTTCATTCTCTTTGATAACTGTTTCCATGCCGTGATCAGATGTGATGATCAAGTTGAGTCTAGAGACCAGGCCTGTCTCGTTAATGCGTTGTCTCAGGTAACCCACCGTCCGATCCACCTGCTTGACCATGTCCTTTCTCTGCTGGGATTCTGGGCCGTATTTGTGTCCAGTGGAGTCAGGCTCCCCAAAGTAAAGGGCAACAAAGTCAAGGTCATCCTTCGTGAACCACTCCATGACTGTGTCAACATTCTGCCTCCACTCGGTCTCGTTATCGTACTTGTGCCACTTTTTCTCCACCTTCTTAACTTGTACCTCTTCTCCTTGGTAGATGGCATTCCCCCCAGGGAAAAATAGAGAAGCAGCCTTCAGGCCCTAGGGTGAGAAGCCACAGACCCAGAAATGGATGACATATTAGACAGAGGTGCATTTGGGAGTATCATGAAAACACTGGTTCTGGTCTGCAAAACCAGATGCCTTATTTTTCTAGCCATCATGGTTTGCAGAGGAAGTATGGGAAGTGCATTGCCAAAATTAGGCAAGATTTGCCATGTTGCCAGTGGTGAGAGTGGGCAGAACTTCAGCACCTTCCACAGCCTTTCTTTTTCATACCCAAAGGCACATATACTTAAACCAAACAACTTTTGGCACTAAGAAATTATTCCCCCACCCTAAAAAGAAAGTAGAATGTGTCAGGATGCTGAATAATATTTTGTGCAGTTCCCAAATACTGTACTTAGGCAGAAATGCAGAATCTGAACATAGGCTTCATTGGAACAATATGATGCTGATGCTGCTATTATTAATCTTATTACCACCACTGCTACTATTATTATTCAGTAGACATCCTGAATATATGTAGCTCCATTTATGAGGCTAGATGGGTGAATAAAACAATATCTTTACTGCTATCCAGCCAATCTCAAATCAGTTTGTGGGCCTATTTTGAAGAGGGTGCAAAACATAATATAGTAAGAAATTCTCCAGATGCATTGGTTTTTTTGGTTAAGTAGGGTAAAAAAGTAAAGGCAAAGGTTTTCCTATGATATTAAAGTCCAGTCTAGGGGGCGGTGCTCATCTCCGTTTCCTAGCCGAGGGAGCCAGCATTTGTCCGCAGACAGTTTCCGTGGTCGTGTGGCCGGCATGACTAAACACCGAAGTGCACGAAACGCTGTTACCTTCCCACCGAAGTGGCACCTTTTTATCTACTTGCATTTGCATGCTTTCAAACTGCAAGGCTGGCAAGAGCTGGGATGGAGCAACGGGAGCTCACCCCGTCTGTGGATTCGAACTGTCAACCTTTCAATCAACCAGCCCAGTGGCTCAGCGGTCTAACCCACTGCGCCAAACACAAAAGGGGGCAGTGCTCCTGCACCTTTAATATCTATGCAAGGAAGGAAAGTCAACAGGACATATTCAGCAACCTTTAACCAATTCCACCCGTGGTGAGAATGCCATTCCCCTGATACTTAAATATCTTTCTGAACTTATTCTCACATCTGAGTTTTGGAGGAACCTGAGACAAATGGGCATACACAGTGCAGCACTGCATGTCAAAATACATCAATTCTTTTCCTGGCCTTCCCAATTTTGCTTCCCTACATTTCCGGTTAAAGCAGGAGCAGTACAGAGCAGATGGGAAGACAAATCTTCAAACCTCTGGCGCCTTGTCTCAGGTAGTAGGTACATGAGCAGAGGCATGTTCTGTGGTTCTGCAGCTCCTGGGTGGGTTGTGGGGTTCTGACTCACCTGCCTTTGTGCTGAGATCCAGATAGGGAGGCTGCCATTGTCCCACCAGTCAGACTTCTGCTGGGTGTCGTAATAAGAATACTTTCTTCCAGAGCTGGTGTTGAACCACATGTTGTGAATTACCCCATGGTTCTCGATGTACCTCCCTGCCAGGAGAGAGGCGAGCTTGGAATTAGATGCAAAGGATGCAATGTGGGAATGGGTGTGTGCTGATCCTTTTGCCTCACAAGGTGGTCACAGGTGGGCTACCCAGAGGCTAAGCCAGATTTCCTCCCACCTTTGGAGAAATCAGTGGCAGGCTAAAACCTCCGGAGGCCACCATCACAGCACGTGCAAGGCCTGAGAAGCAACAGCAGAGCTTTCTCCAATGTGGTGCCCTCCAGATGCCTTAGACTACAATTTCCAGCATCCTGGGCTATTGACCAACCTGGCTGGGGCTTATGGGAGTTACAGTGCTAAACATATGGAAGGCAGAACATCGGACGCCTTCTCAGATGGCTTGAAGTGCCCTGATGACTTCTTACTGTTCAGGAGAGCTAAATAGTTCCTTCAAGCTCAATCAGCCCTGACTTTGACTTTCTTCAATGTCCTGCTTCTAGCAAGACATCTCTGCCTTGCTCCTTTCATCCTGAGGCCTTGTTATGTGGTCCTATTTCTGTATGCCTTCTTTGATCTCTGCTATGGACGGCCTGCTGTTCCATTTATGCCATGATCATGCGTGCCCCCAGGAAACTAACGCTCGATTATTTCCACGGGTATGGCTGCACACACTTATGCATTCCCATCTGAAAATCCCTCCATTGGCAGCAAAGAAGGTTAAACCAAAAGCTTAATTATAGTGTGGGTGTGGTTTCTAGAGTGGGGAAGTCACAGAGTTCAGGAAGCCGAAGGTTATTCCCTCTCTCCCTAGCATCCCCCAGTCCTCAAATGCTCCAATGAAGACTTTTAAAAATACAAATTGCAACCCAAAGAGGTGGAGCCAGCAGAGGAGAGGCTATGGACTAGCTCAGGAGTCTACATTTAGCCCACTGGCTGGAGGTTCCCCACTTGCAGGAAACTGCCATCTCTCGAGCCGGAGCATTCCAATCCATCTAGCACAAGGTTGTCAGCAGGGCCTGGCTGCAGCTCCTGGGGATTCTCTCCCACCTGGAGCTGCAGGGGACTGAAAGAGGGACCTTCTGTGTGCAACGCAGGTGCTCAGCCACTGAGCCGCAGTCCCTCCCATTAAGTTAGCTTAAATGAAATCAAGCTAATTAAGTCAAATTAGCTTTCCTTCCATATGTCTGTAAAAATGATATAGGATAGAGCACATTTATTTATTACACAGTCATTAGGCTGCTTTTCAAAATAAAACGTTTCCCCAAGCGGCTTACATAAGAAAACAAACAAATAACATTAAAAGAAATACAGCTGAAAGAGGGATAACATATTAAACAGTCGGCATCACAGAAATTGAGAAAGCAAAACACATGCAGAAAGCCAGCCAGAGAGAAATGACAACCATGGCTTTGAAAGCTGACGCTCACTTCAGCTGGAGGCAGCCTGAGAAGAGGCCTTCAGGGTCCAGGAGGGTGTACGACTTGCCTTCTGTCCCTCTTTGGGAAGAGCCATGCACAACGCTCGTAGCATGGGAGGGGATCGGCGTTGTTTTTAACGGCACATGAAAAACGTGTTATCAAAGCTGGCAACACAGCTTGGAGTAGGGATGCATGAGGAATCCACTTGGGTGGGGAAACCTGACAAATTTTTCTCTTTGGGCCCTGGTGGATTTCATTCTGTTGCCCCTCCATTACCATCAACTTGATCTGTAGCAAGTCAAGTGTATCTGTAGATTCTGTTGACTGTTTAAGGGCAGCAACTCACACAAAAGAAGAAGGATTTTAAATTTGCAGAAAAGGAGTCTTCTTCTTTTTATTAGTCATTTTATGCAAGTGCGTATAATTGCACATTCATCTCTTATGCAGTTCTGCAGAAGAACATTCACCTATTTTAAATATCCCTGTAAATATTTCTTTGCATGAAAACCTCATGATGAAACAATCCAAAATGAAACAAGGGATAGTGCCAGGAGATGAGACTCCCCGGTCGGAAGGCACTCAAACAGATACTGAGGAAAAGCAAAGGAAACATATGAGTAATGCAGTCACTAATGATGCAATTAGATCAAAGCTGAAATATGCCTAGCAGTTGACATACACTAGATGACATGGCACGATATGTGAAGTAAAAGGAAAGTCCGCTACTGTGCAACACATACAATTGGCGAATGGAACATGAGAAGTATAAATCAAGGCAAACTGGAGAATGTAAAGCAAGAAATTGAATGGTCAAACTTCTCGGTGTGCATGAAATAAAGTGAACTGGATTAAGACATTTTCAGACAGAAAAATGTCTTAAAACCAAAATTGGTTCATTGCAGATACATACTTCAGGCAACCAATCAGATGACATGAACATCACCAGATGAGCAATATGGAACTCAGAGAGAGACTATGTAATCTTAAGTACATAGGACCTGAGCCCCCCCCCACCCCTGGAACACCTGCCGCTGCTGCCGCCGCCGCTGCCGCCACCGCCGCTGGCCCATGCCGATGGAAGACCTGGGGCGCACCGCTGAGCCCGGGGGCCAGCTGATGCCGCTCCCGTGGCCACCGCTGGACCTTTCCCGGGGACGGAGGACGCCAGGGCCACTGACGCTGTGGAGGAAGGCGCCGCCATCTCGCCGGCCGGCGGGTTCCCCGCATCCGTCTTTGCACCCCCCTCACCGGCGTCGGTGAGAGCAACGCCGGATTGGGGCGGGGCACAGGGGCGGGTGCCGGCTTAACTCGCCGGATGCGGCCTGGGGCCGGTGGCCTGGGGCCGACGGCTGAAGGGCGATGGCTAAAGGGCGGTTGCTGCCGTTTGTGGCCGTTCGTGGCCGTGTGGGGGCTGGGCTGGAGAGGGTCTCTTTCGGTGGGTGGAATTTAATATCGGGGTTAGACGGGGAGTTTTTTAATATTGTTTTAAAGTTTTCATTGTATTTTAACTTGCTTTTATGGATTCGTCCCTGGCCATGTCGACGGTTAGGTTACCTGGAGAGCGCATGGGCGCCGCCATTGGAGTGGCTGGGGGCAATGGACGTTACAGTGGGGGGGTTTAACATGTCCGCGTAGAAGAAGGAGGGACAGATGGCTGACACCTGTCCCTCCTTCTGGTTCTGCCCCCACCCAGAGGGTTCCAGGTAGTCTTGTCAACTGCCCCCCGGACTTGATGGTGCTGTTGCTTAATGCCAGGTTGGTCCACAACAAATTATCCCTCATCCACGTTCTGATTGTGGATGAGGGGTCCAATCTGGCTTGCATAACTGAGACCTGGGCGGGAGAGGGGGGGATGTCGCCCTCTCTCAAATGTGTCCGCCCAGGTATTTGGTTCAGCACCGTCCATGCCTGGAAGGGAGGGGAGGGGGGTTGCTTTGGTTTACCGAGCCTCCATCTCCCCTCGAGACCTGGGCTAGAGTGCCTCTACTTGGTCTTGGGAGACTGAGACAGATTTGGGATTCTGTTGGTGTACTGTGAACCCTTCTGCCCAACAGTCTCCCTGCCTGAGCTGATAGGAGATAGTCTCGGACCTGGTGTTGAGGACTCCCAGGATGTTGGTCCTGGGGGACTTCAATCTCCATGCTGAGACTGGTCTGACTGGGGTGACTCAGGACTTCCTGGCCTCCATGATGGCCATGGGGCTGTCTCAACATGTCACAGGCCCGACCCATGAACATGGACACACTCTGGACCTGGTTTTCTCGACGGGGCAGGAAGAAGGTGGTCTGAGGGTGAGGAATTTGTGTCTGACACCCCTGTCATGGTCAGATCACTTCCTCGTGAGGTTTGTGCTCAAGAGCGGCCTTTCCCTCTATAAGGGTGCGGACCCGATTGTGTGGGTCTGCCCCTGGAGCTGGATGGATCCAGATGGATCCTGAAGGCCCTGGGAGAGTTTCCAGTTGACAAGACTGGTGCTCCTGTCGATGCTCTGGTCGAACTATGGAATGGGGAAATGACCAGGGCTATGGACATGATCACTCCCAAGCGTCCTCTCCCGCCAGGCAGAGCCCACTCTTCCCCTTGGTATACACCTGAATTGTGGGTGAGGAAGTGGGTTGGGCGACGTCTAGTGCATAGGTGGAGGAAATCATGGGATGAGTATGACCGAACACACTTAGGAGCCCATTATTGGGCCTATGCTGTGGTGGTGAGGGCGGCAAAAAAGAAATTCTTCTCCATTTCCATTGCCTCCTCACAATGCCATTTGGCGGAGCTTTTTCAGGTGGTACAAGGGCTGGTTCATCCTGGCCCTAAGAAAGATCCAGTACCACCCTCGCAGGCCCACTGTGATGACTTTGCCAAGCATTTTAGGGAGAAAATCGCTCAGATTCGTCACGAGCTGGACTCCACTAGAGACCCAGAGGCTTCTGGGGAGATTCCAATGTCGCTGTCAGGTCCAAAATTGATGGATGAGTTTCAGTTATTGCAGCCTGATGATGTGGACAAGGTGCTTGAACGAGTACGTCCCACCACCTGCCTATTGGACCCTTGCCCATCTTGATTAATTAACAACGCCAAGCACGGGATAGGGACCTGGATCCTGGAAGTGCTTAACACCTCTCTGAGGTATGGCCGGGTACCTGGACCTTTAAAGGAGGCAGTAGTCTGACCAGTCCTGAAGAAGGCATCCCTGGATCCAGAGATGGCCACTAATCATAGACCAGTGGCCAACATCCTGTTTCTGGGCAAGGTGTTGGAGCGGGTGGTGGCGGGACAACTCCAAGCACTCTTGGATGAAACTGATTATCTGGACCCATTTCAGTCTGGCTTCAGAACTGGGTACTGAAGTACTGAATCTGCCTTGGTCGCCCTGTACGATGACCTGTGCAGGGAGAAAGACAGGGGGAGTGCGTCTCTGTTGGTTCTCCTGGATCTCTCAGCAGCTTTCGATACCGTTGACCATGGTATCCTTCTGGATAGGCTAGCGGGATTGGGGGTCGGAGGCACTGCTTTGCAGTGGTTTCGCTCCTATCTCAATGGCTGATTCCAGAAGGTGGTGCTGGAGGACTATGGCTCTGCGCCATGGCAGTTATGCCATGGAGTACCGCAGGGATCCATTTTGTCCCCTCTGTTATTCAACATCTACATGAAACCGCTGGGAGAGGCCATTAGGAGGTGTGGGCTGCGGAATCATCAGTACGCTGATGATACCCAGCTCTACCTCTTGTTTTCCACCAAACCAGGTGAGGCAGTGGCTGTGCTGAACCGGTGCCTGGCTGAGGTAATGGGCTGGATGAGGGCCAATACACTGAAGCTCAATCCAGACAAGATGGAGGCCCCGTTGGTGGGCGGATCAGACCTCGGGATGGGGGACTTGAGCCTTGTCCTAAATGGGGTTGCACTCCCTCTGAGGGACAGGGTTCACAGCTTGGGAGTGCTCCTCAACCCAGAGCTTTCATTTGAAGCTCAGGTGACAGCAGTGGCGAGGAGCACTTTCTTTCAGCTTCGGCCGATCCATCAGCTGCGTCCCTACCTGGAGAACGACTGCCTGGTGACAGTAACACACACGTTGGTAACTTCCCAATTAGACTTCTGTAATGCACTCTATGTGGGGCTGCCCTTGAAGACAGTCCGGATACTTCAATTGGTGCAAAATAGGGCTGCCAGGCTGCTGACGGGGACTGGGCATTATGTTCACATGATGCCAGTCCTCCATCAACTCCACTGGCTCCCCGTTGAAGTCCGGGCCCAATTCAAGGTGTTGGTGATGACCTATAAAGCCCTTAACGGCTTGGGTCCTGGTTACCTAAAGGAGCGCTTACGTCCATACGTGGCCTCCTGCTCCTTGAGATCAGCGGGAGAGGCCCTTCTCCAGGAGCCCTCCATGAAGGATATTAGGAGGGTGAGTACTCGGAGGAGGGCTTTCTCTGCGGTGTCGCCCAATCTATGGAATGTGCTCTCCAGAGAGGTCCGCCTGGCGCCGTCGTTATATGTTTTTCGGCGCCAGGCCAAGACCTTTTTATTTAAATGGCATTTTAATTGTTAGCTTATTTATTGATTTTATATCTTTGGCCAGGGCGTTTCCAATTATATTGTTTTTATATGATTATATGTATTTATTTATTGTTGTAAGCTGCCCCGATGCTTCGGCGAATGGGGAGGCATACAAGTTTACTAAATAAATAAATACAAAATGGTGAGTCTGTATTCTTACTGCCCAAACAAGACTGAGAGCAGATTGCGGTGATGGCCATGAACTAGTAGTATGAAACATCAGAGTAAAGCTGAAAAAGATCCCCAACAGAAGCACAGTGCCAAAATACATTTGAAATAATGTTTCTGAAAATTCTAAAGCCCACATAAAAAGAGACTTGCATTACTGAATTCAATAGACAGCGAACCAGAAGTGTAGACTGAAATTAGTGAAAGAAAGAAAAAACCTTGATGGATGACAGAAGAAACGCTCACAATCGCCAAGGACAGGTGGGAAGCAAAAGCAAACAGTGACAGAAATAGGGTCACAAGGCAACTTTTCAGTGACTAGGGTCAGAAGGCAACTTTTCAGTAATACGTGCAGACAAAAAACAAAACAAAACCAATTACACTGACCAGTGCAAAGAAACAGAAGAGAACAACACAAGAGGAATGAAGAAAGGTCTTCTTCCCAAAGACCTAAGAAATCAAAGGGAAATTCAAACCTGAATTAGGAATGCTGAAAGACCCACAAAGGAACATACCACCTGACCTAGATAAAATAAAGAGAATATGGAAACAATGTACTGAAGAACTATACAGAAGGGATAAAAGGATGACAGGCTCCTTCAAAGAAGAATCCTACGGAGAAGAATCTGCAGTATTAGAAAGTGACATGAAAGCTGCTCTGAAAGCACTCGAAAGGAACAAATCACCCTAAATAGATAGGGCACCAATAGAGCTGCAGAGGCTTAATCCATCCAATCCCAACAAGAACAGGTCAACAAATGTGGAAAACAAAACAAGGGCCCTCCCAGTGGAAAGGTGCAGTACACATTCCAGTCCGCAAGAAGGGAGCTGCAAAGGAGCGCAACAACTAGGAGTGTTTGGGGAATCTGTCCAGAGGTAGGAATCCACTGGATTCCCTGGGCTTGGCTCCCCAGACTCCCCAGCGCCATGCTCAGCATTCACCCTTTGCACAAGTGGCAGGAGATATAGAAAGAATGCAGGGGTAAAATTCTGGAATGCAGGGCAGAACTGATTCTGCTGCCATTTTCTGGAATGGAAGCACCGTGGAATCCTGCCAGGCTTCAACAGAAGGGAATTCCCAGCCTCTCACAGCCCTAATGTGTAGTCTCACGTGAGGATTTAGGATGGCGTGCATAATAGGAAGCTGCCTGAGCCGGACCCTCAGGCCCTTTGCTCCACCTGGCCAGCACTGTCTTCAGCGGCAGGCAGTGGTTCGGAGAGGTCCAAGCAGAAGCCTGTCCAAGCCCAGCCTGCAGACGCTGGGACTGTGGGCCTGGAGACTTCTGCATGCAAAGCGGCTGTTGTAGCACCGAGTGACACCGCTCTTCTAGCTCGAGGGGCCTCCTGCTCCCCTTGGCCCTTCTGACAGAAACATGCTGCTTCCGTGTGCTTTGCCTCCTCATTCTCTCAACTGCTTTCTTATATTGTATTTCCTCCACCCCAAACAATTCTACCTCTGCCTTTTCCGAATAAATACAAAGCAGAGGCAACTATAGATTCAGATGATAGGCCATGTAATGGCATATTTAGATCATGGGCCATGAAGGAGGCAAGGCGTGTCTTGGTTATGGAATTTTTGCCAGTTCAGGACCCTAAAGGTTAAGATGGGTAGCGCCATGAACAGGCAGTGCTGGCTCCTGAAAGGTCCAGGGCCAGGTTCATGGGGGAAGAGTTGCACAGATTTGCACATGCAAATACATGTGCACAATTTGAAATAATTATGATCATTTACATTTTATAGAAGGCATGCCAAGTAACCTCTTGCTTGCGTTCGGGACAGACTTCTTTGCTGCCCCCTGCACTTGTTCAGGCTTACCCTCCATGCGCTGACACATCCCCTTGATCTTTCAGGTCTAAATCCAGATGGGGAGACTGGCATGCCTGAGATCAGCAGAGAGCTGTCTGGCACCTTGAATGTTCACAGGTCAATTGCCATCTGGACATGGTCCACTGGCAAGAAGAGTGTGGGAATGTGTTTCAGACTAGAACAGCCCAGAGGACAAGGCGGCACCCCTTCCCCCTTTCCCATCCCAAAGCTGACTGGACTGGCAGTGGAATCGGACCTCACTGCTCGCGCAGGACAGCATCCACCAGCTCACTTGAAGTGGTGGGTGAGAGACATGTGCGGTATCTGTCACTCTGTCCTCCAGCAGAAGAGGATGGAGATTCATGGGGATGGCTGAGGGGCGGCCGCCACCGCTGCCGCTCCACAGCATCCGCCCCCGAGGGAGTCAGCACACGGTCTGAACGGTGCAGCCGACCCACCCCAGCTGGCACTCACCTGTGAGCAAAGTGAAGTGGCAAGGGCTGGTCTGGGTGACAAAAGCAGGAGTCATGTACCGTGCCTTCACCCCCTCGCTAGCCATGGTGTCTAGATTGGGGGTGTCCACATCCTGGTCATAATTCCACCGAAAGCCATCAAAGGAAACCAGGAGGAGCTTGGTGCGGTTTCTTGCCTCTTGCAGAGGGGCACACGCCCCAAGAGCAAGCACCGTGGCTGCCAAGCCCAAGAGAGAAAGCATTTTTCTAGGATAGCAAAAGGAAAGGGGACAAATGTCCCAGAGGCTTAGTTTATATGTATAAGGCAGAGTCTGAAGTTCACCACCCTATCTAATCTGCCCTCTACACTTGGCTTAGGAATAACCTGGCTGGGATTCAAATCGTTTATAACACACACTCATCTGCCATATGTTTGGGGATATGGAACTGAATGGCAGACCGTATTATTTCTCCTATGCCTCCTTTCTGAAAACCAAAGCACTGGTGCATTTTCTGTAACCAGGCATGGCTCTTTTACTGTTGGCCCTGAAAGAGCTGGTGCAGCTGGATGGCGATGGAAAGAGCATTGGAGTCAACTGGAGGAGTGAGTAGTCAGATCAGATGGGACAAGCTTCTCAGGTTCTCTCTTTTGCCTGAACACTTCCCATGCACTCTGTACAATATACTGATCAAGAACAGGTTGCTTCGAGCCAGGGCTCACCAGGACTTAGCCCCAGAACCTATTTTCAGGACTGAGCCTTGGAACAAGTGAAGACATGCTGCGTGTCTGCTCCTAGCTATGTTGCCACCATCTTCAATAGGCCTAACTCCTCAGTAAATATGTATAGGATTATAGCAGCAATGAGGAAACTGATAGTGTTGGACTAGAGCTCCTATCATCCCTGCCAATTGTCTAAGCAGGGTAAGTCTTACGGGAATTGGAATCTAACAACATCTCAACAGCCATACATTATTACTGATTTCATTTCTATACCACTTAATAACCAAAGTTCAAAGGTCACAAGAATTCACAAAACATAGTACAATCTTATTTCTCCCTACCATCCATTATATATCCCTTCGATAGTGAAGCAGTTTCCAGGGTAGAAGGCAGGAGTTCTGCACAGACTTGGCCCCCCTCATTAACAAAATAAATAGATAATGCACTGCACCAGACTAAGGAGTTGCAACTCAGTAATCAGATCTTAGCTCTTCTCCAGGCCAGTCTATTTTAGAAAAAGGTCCTGAGCTGAAGTTCAACAAAAGCACAGGGCTCTTTGTTAGCGCCAGGACTTTGAGGATTCTTGCACAAGGCATCCTCCATGATCCCATCACTCAGTGAGTCTAACATCTTCCTTCGTCATCAGCTGCAACTGTTCCTTATCCTCTTCCTCATTGCTGCTACCACTAGTGCATTTGCTTGACTGTAAGAAAGGCAGGGAAAAGGTAGACCTTGGTGTCTTCTGCTCTTCCCTCTCACTGTTGTTTGGGCCAGAGTGACAGGCAGGTAGATTGTCACAATGAAGACGGGGGCAACTCTGGGGCTCTCTTTTCAGTGGGCTCCTGCTAGAGAGGGAGCTCCTGACAGATGCCCAATCTTTCCTTTACTTGATGTTGGCTTTGCAGGCTCCGGAACTCCATCCAAGCTGTAGTTGCTTCCCCCTGAGTTCCTGCATGTGGCTTTGCAGGATCTTTATGGAATTATTAGGGGGAAGGAAAACACAGCTTTCTAATGCATGTTGTAGTCCTGTCTAATGCACATTGTAGCCCTTTCAAATGTGCGTCGTAATTGCTATCTGCCTCAGTTCTAAGTGATATGTAGGGTGGGACAGAATAGAAAATACACCCAATCCATCCAAATTGGAAGGAACCCCCTGTCCTTCTTCCTAGAAATCCAGAGCATCTTATATATGGTTTCCCACTCCCTCAGCCCACTGCAGTTCTCCCGTCCAAGTAGGGGTTAATGTGAGACCTGCTTTGCTTCAGGTCTCTTTGAGGCTTTGTGGAGGCCTTGTTATTCCCCCAGTGTTGTTGCAGGTCCGTCTAGTTGACCAGAGCTGTAAAGAACTGCAAGGGACTTGGGGGTGTTCTGGGTTGGAGATAGTGGTGAGGTTTCTGCGGGTCTCTTGTTTCATATCCTAAGGCAGCCTTCCCTGGGCAGGTGTCCTTCAGAGGTGTCAGCTTATACTTCCCACGACAAGGCCCCTTGCTGCCCGGACAGGTAATGAAAGCATTCTTGGTTCAAGTTTGCCCTTGTTGCATCTTACAAAGCCAGCTCATTGTGCTGGACAGCTACGCGGGGCCTTCTTGTAACTGTTCCTGAGAATGGGGCTCCTCGCTTGGCTTCTGGGGTACTTGCCCATTGCCACATGTCCATTGGCTGACTGCTCAAAAACTGCATTCGGCCGTGGAGCCTCACATTAGCGCTCCAGGCCACCAAGGATGTGGCCACTGGTGTGGGGATTCTCCATGCAGTCAGCAGGACAGCGAAGTGGAGCTCACACGCTCTTATTCATGGCTGGAGGTCGATGATCTCAAGCAATGGCTCATATGCAGGAAAGAGCCATCACTGATCTAACACCATGGATGGAACATGCATATCCTCACACAGGTCCTCTAACTCAATTCTTTTCGGTGGAACCATTTTAAACATCCAGCGGTGCGTCCTGGAGCACAGAGGGAGCAACAGGCTGTCTGCACATGTGAGCCAGCCCAGTGGTTATCCTCCGACTGTGCAGCAATGTCATGTGGACACAATTCCAAATTTGCGTAGGAAGAGTGTGATTGCTTTGCTTGGATTTCTTTCTTCTTATCTCCATCAGTGAACACAATCTGAAAAAGAAGAAAACTTTGGGATATGGAAGTCTGATTGGGACATGCTCATGTGGCACCGTGGAGGCCAAATATTCCTGGCATCGTGGATTTTGCTGAGCCGTGTAGCCCTCTATAAAGCGTCTCTTCCATGGCCCTAAGTGCTGCAGAGCAAGCAAGCCATCCATCTGCCCACTCAGAGCTCTGACTGAGACAGGCATGACCTGACCTTCAGCATGGTGAAGTTTTATTATGTCGACTCTCCGCTTTATCAATTGCACTGGCTTTTTACGACTTCTCTGGGGTTTTATCACTACTGCTGACTCACCTCACAGGGAAAATGGGGATTAATATTTTAAGGGAATTATCTCATGTGGCTCTCCAGAGGCATTAGGCTAACAACCTTGGTGAATTTCCCCATGTTCCTCTTCGCTTGCTCAGTGGGTTTTGATTTCCCTTTTTAGTTGTTTAGTCCTTGCCTGCTTTGGCAGTCTTTCTGGTGGTGGAAAGGAAAGCAAAGGATATCTGCTTCTCTTGGGCATCTGTGCATTTCTCCCTGATAGTGCTGGACATCTTGGCTCCAGGGGCATAAAGCACTTTTCCTATGCCACAGCTCAGGTCTCAGGTTCTCCTTAACACCTTTTCCTGCCTCCCATAAGGTTTATTGTTGCTCACTAAGAAGAGTCCCAAAGCAGCTTTCTCCATCTTAGGGCCCTCCAGATATTACTAACTGGGAAAGATTAGAGTTTCAATCCAACACATCTGGAGGCCACTGACTTGGGAAATCCTGCTATAAATGCAGCACATGCCACCAAATCTTTGGTCATTCTTGATCCTGTCATTCTCACCAAGGAAGTCACTATCACTATCTGGTCAAGACATACCATTCTCTGTGTGGCCCAAGTGATGTTGAACATGAGAACATGAAAAATCAAGAGCACCTTCCCCTCTCTTCTGAATGCCATTCCCTGACCGTTCAAATTTGAATAGATGCACTTTACAGATTGGCTTTCTTGGTACCTTCAGGATCCATTCTTGCTTTGTTGTACCTATTGCTAAAACCTTTGTCAGACTTTTGTTTGTATGACTAAATCCCTGCAATAGATTAATGCAAATGGCTCAGTTTCTGACTCCCGCTTCCACCGTTTTTCTCCTTTGCAGTTGATTCCAAATAGCTTTGGACATTCTGGGTAAGGAGAAGAGACAGTGCAAGGGCATGAGTTGCGTTTTGTCTTTCCATGCTGGTACCAGGCATTCAGAGTGGAGCCCGTGAATCTCTTACCACAAAGATGCCACACAGAGAATGGTTGAAAGGCAGTGATGGCACTTTTGTTAAAACTAAGTATGCCTCAGGCGGGCTTGAATCAGTATCTGAATGGGAGGCTGCAAGGGTGCCCTTAGTTGTCATTATATCACATTAATTTATTTCATTTCTTTATGATCCAATAGCTGAAGCTCTCTGGGCAGTTTGCAACCATTTTCAAAACACAATACAATAAAAATAGTCTTAAAACACCACACAAATAAGATTTTTAAAAATTTATGCAAACTTTAAAAAACAGTTCCACGGCCAAAAGAATTCTAATACACACAGAGCTGTCAAAACAAGCTGAGCAAAATGCCCCCTTGTGCCGTCAGACCCCTGTAAGTGTCCATCACAGCCAGTAAATGCCTGGGAGGGGAGAGCAGTCTTAGCCTGGTGCTGCAAAGATGACAGAGTTGGTGCCGGGAGGGCTCAGTGGGGGGACATTCCGTACATGAGGGGGCACCACTGGGGAGGCCGACTGTCATGCTGCCATGCTTCCTCTGCAGCTGGCACTGGGGGAAGGCCCCCGAGGTCGGCTGCTGCAGTGCCCGGGGTGACTCAGGCTCAGAGAGCTGCTCTACCAGCCCAACGTACAGTGCACTGCGACGATCCAACTCGGAGGTTACCAGAGAAACCAGGTTATCCTTGTCCAGGTCGGGCTGTAGCTGGCCCACCGGTCAAAGCTGGAAGAAGATACTCCATGCCTCCAAGGCCACCTGAGCCTCAAATGGCGAAGGTCATTTCAGGAGAACACAAAAAGATACGGACCTGCTTCTTCAAGGAGAGTGTAACCTCATCCAGAACAGACTGAATACAATCCACCCCATGAGAAGACTCACCTGTTATCAACATCTCTATCTTGTCTGAATTGAGCTCCAGTTTGTTAGCCCGTATCTACCCCATTGTTGCGGTCAGGCAGTGGTTTAGTACAGTATATCTGCAGCCTCACCTGAAGGAAATGAAACGGAGTAGAACTGCACATCACCAGCATGTTGATGGCAATGTATTACTAACCTCTGGAAGTCCCTATTCAGCAGTGCCACGTACATGTTAAAAGAATGGGGAACAAACCCACCTCCTAAGGAACCTGAGGTTCCACAGAGCCAAGCAATATTCTCCAAGCACCACCTTCTGGAGCTGGCCGCC